GAAATTTCAGATGTATTTACAGCACCTACTTCATACCAATTATTTTAAACATATTCAGGTGAACGATACAGGCCCTCTGGGCCTCTTGTACTAAGTAAGTTATTTTAGTGCCAAATTTTGTACAGCATGATTATTTAGCCTCTTTGTCTTAATCCTTCCAACGTAGGTACCTTATGATAGAATTTATTGTTTGCCTTTACACTGTTACAATTTTTTAACATTTACATATATATATATATGTTTGTCGAAATACAAGCTCTTGAGAGCTATTCAACGTAGAATAATGATTTTGTATCTTGTATTTCAATGTAACATGCCACTATGCTTTTATCTGTTAAGATAAACAAGAGGCCCAATGGGCCTGCATCGATCAACTGTTATTAATCTAACACTTATAATCTTAAGATTTCATGAGAACCTATTAAAAGATTTAAACATATGACGCCTGTGACCTTGATTGTCGAACAAGGACATTAGGTTGAAAGTGGATCAAGGTCATTCATTTGAACTAACATGGTAGTCCTTCATCCCAGCATGCTACAGGCCGAATTTCAGTACCCTGGCCCTTTTGCTTATTGAGAAGAAGTCGCTTGAAGATTTTACGACATTTGATCCATGTGACCTTGAAAGTTGGTCAAGGTCATTCATTTGCACAAACTTGATAGTCCTTCATCCCAGCATGCGACAGGCCGAATTTCAGTACCCTGGCCCTTTTGCTTATTGAGAAGAAGTCGCTTGAAGATTTAACGACATTTGATCCATGTGACCTTGAAAGTTGGTCAAGGTAATTCATTTGCACAAACTTGATAGTCCTTTATCCCAGCATGCGACAGGCCCAATATCAGTACCCTGGGCCTTTTGGTTATTGAGAAAAAGTCGTTTGAAGATTTTACGACATCTGATCCCAGTGACCTTTAAAGTGGGTCAAGGTCATTCATTTGAACAAACTTGGTAGCCCTTCATACCAGCATGCTACAGGCACATTATCAATACCCTGGGCCTTTTGGTTATTGAGAAGAAGTTTTTTGAAGATTTTAAAGACATCTGACTCCAGTGACCTTGAAAGTGGGTCAAAGTCATTCATTTGAACACAGTTGGTAGCCCTTCATCCCAACATGCTACAGGCCAATATCAGTACCCTGGGCGTTTTGGTTATTGAGAAGGTCAAGGTCTTCAAATCTTCAAACCACTTCTTCTCAATAACCAAAAGGCCCAGGGTACTGATATTGGACCTGTAGCATGTTGGTATAAAGGGCTACCAAGTTTGTTAAAATGAATGACCTTGACTCACTTTCATGGTCACAGAGGTCAAATGTCTTAAAATCTTCTTGTTTGAAGATTTTACGACATTTGACCCCTGTGAGCTTGAAAGTGTGTCAAGGTCATTCATTTGAACAAACTTGGTAGCCTTTCATCCCCGCATGCTACTGGCCAAATATTATCAGCCTGGGCATCTTGGTTATTCAGAAGAAGTTGCCATGTGAGCTAATAACACTTTTGGGTATATTTTATCCATTTTCAGCAGAAAATTATTCTTACTTGGTGAGACCATCTTTGTTGGATAAGGGTATTACATTGTAAAATTGGAATTCCTGTCCCATCCCAGGGGATAGGGCAGGGCCCCAAAGGGAACATTTACCAATATTTAAAAATAACAAGAGGCCCATGGGCCTTAACGGTCACCTGATATATTTATACAGAGAGTTGATTTCGTTTTTAACATGAACAGAAATATTATTCAAAGTGACAAAAAACAATAAAACCACCTTATTCAATATCAAGCATACAGATTTCAGGCTAAAAATGATTTGAAACTAGCACCTCTGATTCTAAACAAGGAAAATGAAGAAATTTTAGCACACTGACTCCCTTGAGCCCCACCCTACAGCCCTTGGGGGTAGGGCTGGCTCAAAATTTTCAAAGTATCAAACTGTCAACTCAAGGTTATAATTCCAATCAAGTTATTAACATGTAATA